GGGGGGGGGGGGGGGGGGGTGCGGAAAGCTGCGACGGCAGAGTATGTACACGTGCCCGTCCCGTCAACGAGATAACAATACAAAACGCAGGGGCGCTTGTGCCTGAACTGGTACACGCCCAATGATGGTCTCGACGGCGGCAACCGCGGAAACCGCATGGTGTGCTCCTTCTCCGCTTGCACACAAGAGAAGCGATAGGGTCTGCACAAATTCCCACTCCCCGGCACCCCCTTCCGTACACGTCGAACAATCGCGCCGTTCAAGCTCGTGCAACACTCACTCACCCCAGCCCACTTGTCGCTGTTGCTGACGGGAGAGAGGCCACCGGCCGACGCGGGCTGAGACAGTGCCGCGATCCCCGCGAGCGAGAGCACGCCCGCCACGCCTGCGAGTGTTTGCGTAGAATGTCGTGGAATAAAGCGATGCCACCTTCATGTTGACTTCATGTAAAACCGGTGGCAACTACATCGCGTGTCGTAATCCTCAAGGACGGCCAAGGCCTAGATGAATGGCAATCAACCAGGTCTGGCACCAGGTCCGCAAACACGTAAATCTTCGGCGAAATCGGCGCTACGACGAGCGAGGTGACAATATGTTTGGGCAGGAAAAGCGTTGCTAAACACGGGGATATACATTGTAGAAAGTGACACGGCTTATGTTCACAATGGATCCTGACAGACATCGGCTGCAGTGTCCAGGGGCACCGGTGCGTTGAAGAGCTCTACCTGTACACCGACGCAACGTCTTGATGACTGAGCGAATGGAAGCAAGCAACATCATGCGTGCCAACTAGCCGATAACATTGCAATTGTACCAGGCGTCTGGTCACGGCCGCTTTGAGAGGGAAACAAGTGCTACGGAAAGAGTGGTCAACCAGCCAGCACCCATTCGTTTGATCAGTTGGAACAACGATTCCACCGGCCGCGTGCAATGGGTACGTATGTGTTGTGCCAGAGAGAATAACGCGGACTTCGTACAGCGAACGAAGTCAACGCGTTGGTGCTCATGGAGACGAGTCCGTGAAAAACGCTGGTTCCATTGCGAGAGGTGTAACTGCACCTAATCAGATACATGTGTGACGTGTACGGTTGTTGAGAGAGAAAAAGAGACGAGAGAGAGACAGCGCACGCTCGAGATTGCGTACTCCTTTTACTGTGTGGAATAGAAAAGAAAATAAACTCGTGATGCTGTGGTAAACAGCGTTGACAGCAACGGCAAGAGGGAAGACGGTAGCTCTCACCTTGCTGAAGGAACGCTTGTCTCGACTGCGGCTCCGCGCTCATCTCGACGGCAGCTACGGCAGCAGGGACGGGAGTTCGGGCAGAGAAAGGTCCGTGGGACGCAAGAACAAGTGTGCGTGCTAACGACTGGATCGATACGATTGCAACCCTTTGAACGGAGCAATTCGAGTTGGATTGCTCGCTATTACTACATCTCGTGCTGGCGCAATACTTCGTGCATCCACCGCAGGCAAGGGTCTTGTCCTATCTCATGCAGAACTCTCAGCTACGCGCGCAGCACAAGACCTAATTCTCATCTCATGAACAGGGTGCTGAATGTCATGATGTGTCGTGTAGGTGATGATGTTCCTCCCACCTGTTCGGGCAGAGGATGCTGCTGTGCGTACGGGGAGCTTCGCGGATCCCGCGACGAACGCGTCGGTGGAGGCCACCGAAAGGAGGGCGAGAACAGCCGCAAGGAACGCAGACTTCATGGTGGTGACTTCGGAGGTTCGGACGAGGAGAGAGGTCGAAGAGTAAAGAATGCGTGTGTGCTTCTCGAGCGGCACCGAAAGACGAAAGCGTACGTGTGATGTGGGGCAACGCATTTCTCAGATGAGTCATCGGCTGACCAATCACATCCTCTGAACACGAGGGGATGGTTCTCCAAGCACGCCTAGAGAACCAAATAAAGTTTGGGGGCTCCGTGCATCCGAGTCCTGCCTTTTAGCCCAGCAGCTCTGCCACGAGCAAGACAGCAGCTCGTCTTGCTCTGCTGACCCGAGACACAGGGGAAGGGTAGGGCGAACATGATACCATCATATTACCCGGTCAGTATACTTCGTAGCACAGGTGCATTGGATGTTTCTAGAGAGCTATAACCTTTTTTGTTACTACTGTGTATCCAGCCTGCCTCACTCATGATATACGCTCGTTGGGGTGTTGCCGCTTCCCCTTGACACATGAGAGTTTCCATCCGTTCTCTCCCCTCTTCGCAGCACTTATCCAAGGCCCTGGCGCTGTCCTGCCTTCTCTGCTACACCATCCGCCGGACACAAGGGTTTGCTTTATCTTCGAGTTGTGCTTCACGACAAAACAACTGTCGCCGTGGTCGGCCTTCAGGAGCCCCAGCAGCAGTTGATTTTGGGAGTCGTGCGGCGGCGGTAGCACCTGAGTGGGCAACAGGCTGGCGTGCCGATGAAGTTCGTGCAAGGTACGGCCTTGGAGTGTCACGGGGTTGATAGCGGCGAGGTTCAGGAGCAGTAACACCATTTCCGCGTGGCAAATGTATGGTTACCCCAACCTCGTACCGGCAACTACTTCGCGCGCAATGGTGCGGTGCAGTAACGGCAGTTTGCAGTACACGACTACTGGTATACGGTTAGGTGAAATACACCACACATTTGATGGCGTGAGTTATCCCAACACATCAAGAATAAATCCTTTGTAAACAATACGTGTAGCAGCAGTACTGCACGTGTGTGGATTGCTATGACCAGGCGACGGACGCATCCTGTTCACGTCGCTACACCCTCCCGGCAGTACTCGCAAAGAACATGCATGACTGCTGTTGGCATCGACAGCAGTAGTCCAACGCCAAAGCTCACAGAACGGCCTTCTGTACAGCATGGCATCCTGTGACAGGTCGCACAAGAATTTCTGCACATCAGTAGGTCATCGTGATGCCGGCCGACGTTAGTGGCTCCCGGCGTTGCACGACACAAGCGCAGTTGATGTTGCTCTAATGCAACAACACTCGGCGAAACTTGAAGTTCTGGGGAGTTCAACATTCTCGGAGTCGTCCCATCGGTTGTTTTTCTACAGGTACATCGTCACGAAACGTGTGCACGCGCGCAGCCACGAGCGATGCGAACACCGTATTATCAATGTTGAACAGCCATGTCGACGTCAGTGAGGCGTTTTTGTTCGTTCGTGCCTGCCGATGCTCGCCAGGGGAGTTGGTTGAACGAAAATTAAGATTCATGGTTCAACGACCCCCCCCCCCCCATCGTGGGTGTCAGACACCAGGATGGCCTAAGTCTGCCTCCCATGTACATGCTTGGGGACCTTATGGCCGCCTGTGCTGTATTTTGAGCCTCTTGAAGTTAATCTATTGTACGATCACGTCGGCGCCAACAAACTCTCCTGGACAAGGCGAATAGGACGGCAACGCGAGGCTTGGCGATCACCGAGTAGCCGGCGATGCGCATCACAAACAGCTACGGCAGCTGAGGGCGACACTGACGAGGAGGAGGAGGAGGAGGAGGAGGAGGGCGGCAGCGAAGAGCTCTTCGACGAGTTGCCGGAAGAGATCGAGGAGGTACGGGGGGCGTTCTTGGACCGTCCGGGGCAGATGCTGGACGTCGACAAGATCTTGAGGGAGACGGAGCACATCGAGCACGACGACATTCCGGAGGGCTTCCGCACCGGCTACGTGACCATCGTCGGCAGCCCCAACGTGGGCAAGAGCACCCTGATGAACAATATGATCGGGGACAGGCTCTCGATCGTCACCCCCAAGGTGGGTCGTCGAGAACCGTTGTTCTGAAAGAGGTAGGTGCCGCCGGTAGTGGGTCCCCGGGTACGGCCGCTCGACCCCTGACGGCGACCACAAGCCCGATCCCGGGCGACCCACCTCGCATCCCATGAAGCCGGGTCCCTCTCTTGGGGAACCCAGCGGACTAGGAATTTCTGCCTTGTTGTTGTCCCCCTAAGACGGACGTGTTTCCGTTGGTCAGCGGGCTTGTACGGTCGATGCTAAACTAGCTGCGGGAGCAACGAAACACGTTCGTAGCAATGACGTTTTGCCCCTCTTCCACAATATGCCTACGTACGGTTAGCGAACCCTCTCCCCCCGCTGGATTTCTTGTGCCTTGTTGGGATGCCAAAGGCGGGCACGACCCGCCACCGCATCACGGGGATTATGACGGGGGACGACTTCCAGATGATCTACCAAGACACGCCTGGCGTCCTCACGCCCGCCTACATGCTGCACGTGAGTGTCACTGTCTCGGCTTTTTGAGTCTTTGCCGTGCTTGTGACTACGGGCTTAATTTTGGCAAAGGAGCTACGCAAGAAAACTCTAGCACCAACGCCGAGGACGACGGTGACGGTGACGACGATATCAACAACCATACTTTGTTGCTTTCAAATCACCGCTTCAACCCCTTGTACAACACATCCAGCAAGGGCGAGGCGTGGCCGTGCCATGACGCCGTTTTTATTTTTAGAGACCCCGTGCGCGCGTTTTTGTTTGGACCCGGCGAACTTCTGGCAGGTGACTCGCTGATGTTTTTTTTTCCGCGTCCGATCCGGGCTGTTGTTCTCACGCGCAACCTCGCGTTGCCGGTCACCGCCGTGTCTACTGCTGTACTACCCCTCGTTGGCAGGAGGGCATGATGAATTTCGTCCAGGAAGCCATGGGCGACGCCGACGCGATTCTGTTTGTCACGGACCTCTTCGAGACCGATTTCGCCAACACGCAGGTAACAAGAGGCGCAAGCTACTGCGTCCTGCGTCTGGGTTTCTTTTGATTTTCCCGCCTGGGCCTTGCATCTCTTTCGGCCATATTGTACGAATTAGGACGGGATACCTTTCTTTTCTTCCCCTCGCTGCCTCGGCAAGGTTTTGCGTAGGCATGAGCCTTAGCGAGGGGGGAGGGGGGGGGGTGTACTCATAGTCGTGCATGCCGTAGTCGTTAGACCATTGACCTCGCATCCCTACAAAGCCGGGACGGAGCACGCCGGGTTC